GTGCATCCCAGGGAAAGTCTCTCCTGCCTACGTCTCACACTCTTCCTCTAGGAGGTGAGTCTGACTCCCTCTCACGGGGTGTGAGAGTCTGAGTGACTCGCTTCTCTCTAGTGAGCAGATCGCTGCAGAAATAAGGCTCTGCCGCTCCTGTGGTTATTGCATCTAAAAGGCTACAGTCCTTTCCTGCCCCTCCCTCCCTCCCTCCATCTACCCCTACAATACATGCCCATGCTCGACTTTGAAGTCAAATCAACAGGTGGGGAACCTCAGGAAATGTGCAGAAGCCAATGCTGAGAGGAACTGGGGTCCTTCTTATTGGCCAAGATGTGCCTACCATAGGAGAACAAGCTGATTATGGAAACTCCGGTCCCAGGCTGGGGAGCTCAGCCAGTAAAATGTCTGCCAGAGAAGTACGAGGACCTGGGTTTGGATCACGAGACTCTCTGAAAAAGGCCAGGCTTAGGGACATGTGGCTGTAACCCCAGTCCTGGGAGCTTGAGGGTGGAATGGGCAGAGATAGGAAGATCTCGGAAGCTCATTGGCCAGCCAGTGTAGCCAAACTGTGAGTTTCAGATTCAGTGAGAGACTTTCATAAAATAAAGGTAGGGAATAGTCACGGAAGATACCTCCATTCTCTGCTGGAACACACCTACACTAACAGGTCCACATCATACACACACACACACACACACACACACACACACACACACACAGACCTTCTAAGAACTGCAGTTTCCCAGCAGTTTCTCATGAGACCACCAATCCGAAACCCCTAGCTGAGCCATTTCCCAACACCTATCCCACAAATAGAAAGTGATAATGAGTGATTATTATTGTTTCGAAATAGTAAGTTTTAGAGAGATTTTTGTCATACAACCTGAAGTAAGCAATACCATAGGTCATCAGGAGATAAAAGAGAGGTCCAGGAAAGTCTTTCTTTGATGAAGCAACATTTTGCATTAACAAGAGGAGAGGAATCCTTAGGTAAAAGAAGGAACCTATCTTAAGAAGCGTGCTAAACACCCTATGGGGAAATGATACATTTGAGGAATTAAAAGTGACCCAACGTGGGGTAAGCATACAGAAGGAAGGAATGTAAGACGCCTGAAAATGAATGTTGGGTGGTTGGATCATTCAAGGTCTTAGAAGAACCTTTCATTACAAATGTGGTCATGTATGCACTCTTGAAGAGTTTTAGTGAGGTGGGGCTGTATCAAACTTGGCATCTAGGTTTCTGTGAAGTTTCCAGGAGATGACAAATGCCTATGGAAGGCTGAGTCTACAGAGGGAGGTCGTGGTTCTGCATACATTGTTTGAGATGTTTCTGAGATATTCAGATGGTGGTGTCAAGCCAGAGATTTGATATACACCTTTGGCACTCCAGAGAGTGAGAGATGGATTACCCCTTTACGGTCAAATGACAACAAACACATAGTAATTGAAACCATGGGCGTGAACTAAAGAATAGAAAGCAAGGCCAGCAGGAAGTCCATACCACACAACTACAGACTTTGAGGCTAAGTACAAGAGGATGCATCCTCAGAGGAAAGGGAGCACATAAAGCCTTGGGAACAGGAAGAAAAGAAGGAAGTGGTGGCAGTCTGGGTGAGAAGTGGGGCCATAAATGGATGGAGCAGATGAGCCCAGAGGCCCAGCTGGAGAGGCTGGGGCATCAGTGGGAGGTGAAGATAAAGGACAGGGGGTCAAACAGTTCCTCTCAGAAGGGTAGCAGTGAAAGAGAGGACAGGGACAGAGATGGGGTGAAGCTAGACTGAGTGAAGGTCTATTTTGTTGTTCTTCCTTTGAGGATGGGACAGAGACCCATGTGCACATAGATGCTGAAGGGAAAGATCTTGTCTGAAGTTGAAGAGCTGGAAGAGAGCAAGAGAATTGTGGATGCCGAAAGGATTTCTCAATTTTTTTGTTCAGAGCCCCAAAGAAGCTGCTGGTCCCTGGGAAAAAGTGGAATAGTGGTATGCACTTTAAAGTTCTTAAAAATTATGGGTCTGGGGCTGGAGAGATGACTCAGTGGTTAAGGGCATTTGATGCTCTTTCAGAGGACATGGGTTCAATTCCCTGCACCCACTCATTTTAACTCCAGTTCCAGGGGATTGGATGCCCTCTTCTGGCCTCTTAAAGTACTAGGCACTCAGTGGCACATAGGCATACAGGAAGGCAAAACACCACACATAGAAAATAAAACAGTCTGGTGGTGGTGCACACCTTTAATCTCGGCGCTTAGGAGGCAGAGGCAGAGGGCAGAGGCAGATCTATAGGAGTTCAGTTCTCTATGAGGCGTAAGTAGTAGGAACAAATTATTGTTACAAATGCATTTTAGCTTGGAAAAAAGTAACGCTCTTGGCCATGCCCTTCCTCAGGGTACTACTTGCTCAGAGGACAGGGAACTTCTTTCTCAGGGAGCTGTGTCACCAGTCAGTGTCTCGCTGTTTCTTATGTGTTACAAGTGAGCACTTGGCCTCTTCGGGAAAGCTTGAGGAAAATGGACTTCTTGTGTCATTAGATAGCATAAGGTTCTCCATCTCGGGGTCAGTAACCCCTGCAGACCAGCCATCTTTTAAGTTCTGTGAAGTGCTGTATTGGGGATGGGGAGATTATGGCTAAGAGCGTGAAGTCTTAAGCAGAACTGCCTGGGTTTGCACCCTTGATCTGCATTTCCTAGGCACATGGCCCAGGCCAAGCTATCTTACCTCACTGGTCCTCAGTTTGCCTATCTGTAAAATGAGAATAAGAACAGCACTTACCTCAGGGCTGGAGAGATGGCTCAGCAGTTAAGCGTGCTTACCTGCCTGGGTTCCCAGAGCCCAAATGGTGCAACTTACAACTGTTGTAACTCCAGCTCCGGGGGAATCTCGCACCTCCTTCTGGCCTCTGTAGGAACCACACTCACATGAGCCACCCCCACCTCCATACACACATAATAAAAACAAACAAACAAATAAACAAACAAAAACAAAACAGTACCTACTTTACAAGGGGTCAGGTGAGGCAACACAAGGGCAGAACAGTGCCAGGCATAGCAGTGCTTCAGGAGTTAGAAACACAGGTCACAAATATGAATTAGAAGAAATCTGGATTGAGGCTTTATTAGCTATCCCTGGCTTGTCCCTGCATCTGTATAAACGGGGGTAAGAATTACTACTTTACCCAAGTGCAGTGGGGATTGAGATGTAGATAAAAAATACCAGAGGCTAAGAGTGAGTTTAATTCGTGAAAACCGCTATCATTTTAGCAGGTGGCAGCTACTGTTTCCGTCCTCAATGGGTTCAAAGCTCACAGCTCCAAACTCATTGGTTGATGAGGAGAGTGCAATGTTTGGAAAGGGTGGGCGGAGAGATGACGGCTGACTTTCTATTTGTGAGTGGGTCTCAAACAAGAGTACCCTTAGCTGAATGAGACGGTCTCACATAGGTGAGTCTGACCAGTAACACACAGATGCTGTCAACATGACAGACCAAATACAGTGGCACAGCTGGACCAAGTATTCAAGGTCCTGGGAAGCAGCCTCTCCTGTCCTCCCTCTTTTCCTCCTCTCTCTCCTTTCCCTTCTTTTCCTCCTCCTGCCTCAGCCTCCTGATCGCTTGGATTATCAGCAGATGCCATTATACCTGGCTTTGAATATTTGCCCAGGGAACCTTTGTAAGGATGAGAGAACAGCGAATTGTCAAGAGCAGCTGGAGTCTGAAGGTAACCAACCAGCTCGTCAAGGGCAAGATAAATACTGGTTTAGCAATTTTACCCATTGGCAGGCTGCACCTGCTATCAGACTTAAACGAACACTTACTTATTTCTGTATATGAATGCTTTTCCTACATTACTGCTTATGAACTAGAAATAATACATATTTGTACTTGGCTGAGGTGGCCATCTACACAGGTGAGAAAGTTGTGGAGGATTAAACAGATACACGCCGACGTGCACGAGTGGATCTGGAAATCTGCACGGAAATTAACACCCGATTACGATATAATTTTGGCTGACATGGCGTGGGGAAGAGCTGGACAAAGTGAACAAAGAATCTGTGTGTTACTTTTTACAACTTCAATTCTTTTGACATACAAATTTTAAAAAATGCATCAACGAAAGGTATTTTTGCCTTAAAAACGGTTTAGAAAGCGTTGTTTCTGAGCAGAAGCGCGCAGTGAGTCCCATTCGCTTTCCTGAGTTCTGCACTCTCCTGGAATCCTCGGGCACAAGACAGGCGCCATTAGTTTGTTCGGAAGCCAGAGCTGAAAGAAGGAAGTCCCGGTGCGGGAAGGGCTCTCCCCTTTCTGGGAAACTACGGACTGCAACCGGACCAAACTGCCAGCACGTCTGTCCCGGCCACCGTTAACTTTACCCGAGTTTCTGAAGTGCTGTGTGTCGCACACTCTAAAACTAGAGTTCAAACCGTTTAGGATCGATCCTCACTTTCTCCATAACGGGACGGCGCGAAGCTGCCTTTTGCAGCCAGGCAGGACTTTGTTATTTATTTTCTTTAACCGCGTGCAGGATTTCTGCAGACTCAACTCACAGCACGAGTAAACTTCACTACCAGAAAGAAAGGGAAGGATAGGGCAGGAGGCGGGCGAGAACTCTGCGGAGCTTCGACTGGGAGTCCGCAGAGCCTAGGATTTGCGCAAGCATTGTGAACTTGGGGAAAACGAAAGGGCGAGAGGAGTGGCGGGCTGGGAAAGCGCACGCCCGGGCCTCAGTTTCCAGGGGAGTAACCTCCCCTCCAGCCTGGGAGCGCCAGTGCCAGCGTACGCCAGGAGTGGGTAAACTGAGGCACGGCAAGCGGGGGGGCCGGCGTTGGGGAGGGAGGACGCCCACCCGCCCTCCGTAGCTCCCGGCGGCCCCGCCTCAAAATGCACAAAGCCCTGAGCGCGCGCCACCGCGCGCCGCTCGCTCCCCGTTGGGCGCCAGGCCCCGCCCCGCGTGCCCCGCCCCGCACCCATGACGTCACCGCGGCGGCAGGCCCCGCCCCACCCGGCCCCGGCGGCATGACGTCACCGAGGCCCCACCCCTCCGGAGCGAGTTCGGTCCTGGCGTTCATTTCATTCCTGTCCTCATTCCGCACATTCTTCGCATCGCTCGCGCCGTGCCGCGCCGCCCGAGCCGAGCCGAGCCTCCGCGGCCCCGCCGCCCGCCGCGAGCGCCCCCCAGCACTTCGCACACTCGCTTCCAGCCCGCGGGGAGTCCGCGCGCCGGGGCCCGGGCCCGGGGCGGCCGCGGCGGGGCGCAGGCCATGCGCTGACCCCCCAGCGCGCAGCGTCGCCCG